GCCAAAGTACCAAGTTGTTTTCATGACCACGCAGATAACCTTTTCGACCATAATAGGTACCTTATGAGGCAAACTTCCACAAAGCTTAGCCATGTTGGCACCGCCTCATCTCACCTTAGTCATACCAAACATGCACTGTATCATCCAAACCTATCAACTATCATGGTCAACTTGATACCAACTCCAACTACCCTCTTACTAGTCAGAGTACATGAACGCATAATCAAAACGCTTATCACTCTCGTGTCACCCTTACTGCATCAAACAAAACCAACTCGCGCAGTCAACCTTCACTCGTTCTCTATCAAATACCATCAAACGATTAATCATAAAAGTTCAAAGAAAATTTTTATTTTGCCTATTTTTCACATTCTCATACCCGGATGTCGTTCCACCAGGGACAACGACAGACGACCGTTATCTCCGGCAACGGTGCCACCTCTCGAGCGCATCGGTCCGGCACCGTACAAAACGGGGCGGGACCCTCCAGACCGCGTCACGCAGGAGTTGGTTTGATCCTCGTCGCGAATACATATGGAGCTTCTGCAAGTCGCTCCGGCCAAGTGCGCCATCCATACCTCTCGTGAGCCCCTACGACAGGATAGGGCCTACGCGAGGCACGACTTACCTCCACCTTACGGGAGTTGTCATCTCCCTTCGGTGGGCGTATCCCCGCTGAGCTACTAGTCCACAATACGAAAGCTACTTAGCTGCAATCGCAGAGGTGGACCAGCCGAGGGCGTTTCTCGTACGCCGTAGCATAGGGGGTATGGGCGGTTTTACGCCTCTATCGGGCCCGCACGTGAACCGACGCCTTGAGGGCTGAGGTCCCAAGCGCGACTCGTCGTCGGTCGACTATGACGCATCCCACACACCACGCGTACACCACTCTAAAGAACATAAAAATAAAAACACACTCACATACACATACATATACAGAACGACACACAACAAACAACGTGACAACACTCATAGTCCCTTAGTAGTCATCCCATAACAATCCGATGCGGAAATCGGATAAGCGTCGCGTGCAAAACATAGTATAAAACCGTGCGGACACAAGGTTAATCTCATATCGACTCGTAATGCAAACGTACGCAAGCAGTCGCAATGATGGCGTACTAAGTAGTACCCATACTCATGCGGTCCTCGTTAATCTCGAATGGTCGCATTCGACACTCAAGTGTCGACCGACACACACCTTGAGGAAATGATCTCTCGACGCTGGTCAACCACCAGGTGCGGTTGAGAACCACACCCTCTTCTACGCCCTGCGGGGAGTGGGTGGTACATAGATTCATACCTGTGATGGCAATTATCTCTTAACGCCCCGGAGACCAACTCCATCATCTAGGGTCTGGAGAGAAATCAAGGGGTTTGACTTTGACGGCTGTCACGGACTACAACGTCCAACTATAAAAGCTCTAAAAAATAAAGGATAACAGGGGATCTTCCTTTTCTCTCAAAGCATAATCTGTTTAACCCTTACGCGCGGTCACAGTAGGTCATGCGAAATACTCAAGACATATTTGTTTACATATATATATATAAGATTATTAATATAGGACGATCACAACTCACAGTTACAGTGAGACTCCTCTCAACCATATATACGTATGTGATCGTAGGCAGTTAAATCCAAAGTCTGAACCACAAAACATACCTGCAATCACATCAAAGATTCAACAAAAAGTCTACACACTACACGGGGTCAACTTCAACCATTCTCTACGCCCACACTTCTCACTTTAGCCCCACAAACCTCAACCTTAGCGCACCCTTCCAACAATAAAATACTGAGTACCTTTGTTAAATGGTCATTCAATAAAGTCCAGGTAAAAATACAATGAAACATTTCAAATCACAGGGCTAAAGCCTTTAGGTTGAGTGGCAAGAGTGGATTGAATTTGAATCGTAAACCGACAAATCGGCAACCGACCTGTTGTCAGTGATAACAAAAGATGATCCCTCGTAGGATCAAACTGAATCTAGTCCAAATCTTGAATCAAGTGATCAAGAGGACGTGTAATACCAGAGTGGTTAATCCCCAAGCTAAATCTATAAGTTCATGGAGAATAATCTTCATATCACAATCTCACTCAAGGTTCTCTTGCAAACTAAGTCTAAGCCTATCTCTAAGTCAGTGTCCTAAGAAAGGTAGACCCTGACAGAGTCTCCTCAATACAGAGTGGATTGCCAGAATCGCCACTTGTCAAAATATAATCTAACCCCTTTAGATTAATTTTTTTTTGGCAGCGCTTCCCGTAGGAAAAGTGTCTTCTCAGAATTTATAATAACTCAAATATGAAAATAAAAATAAAACTCTAATTTTGGAGAATCAAATTTTGTCTAACTCCCTGAATTAGTAAAAATTTGGGCAGCACTCCCTTTAGGAAGACTTTCCAGATTTTTACTAAGTCGGATATGAACCCAGAGCAAAACCTGAGTTTAATTAAGACAGAATTTAACTAACTCCTTCAATTTGTAAAAATTTCAGCAACATTCCCTTTAGAAAAGTACTAATCGAAGATTTATACAAAGCTAAGTTTAGAATGTAAAGTGACTTTGACTTCTCAAGGTCTAATTTTGTCTAACTCCCTGAATTAGCAAAAATTCGGGCACCACTTCCTTTAGAAAAGGAGACTCTGCAGATTTTAACTAAGTCATATATAAAAGTCAGACAAGTTGAACTTTGAAAAGACAAAATTTAACTAACTCATTGGTTTTGTAGAAATTTTGGCAGCGCTTCCCGTAGAGAAAGTAACTTACTAAAATTTATACAAAACCAAGTATAACAAAAGATCCCAGAAAATATAGAAATTGACCTAAGTAAAATAAACTTATCTCAGAATATGCAGAAATTGAAACTAACTCCTATGACTCTAGCACGTGGTGAGCAACTAAAGCAACTGCCTATCAAACTGAAACTCGGACCAAGTAGTAATCTCACTCAGTCACATGCAAGGCCAAACCACAAAGGTGAGTACTCTCACCAACCCAAAGTCAACCTTGTCAAACAAGACTTCATGATCTTTCAATGATTTATCCCTTTATACCCAACTTACATAAGGCATTAAACTAGATCACCCAAACTTATCGAACATGTCTAGCTCAACCATTAAATATACACAAACACGGGGCACAACAACTTTTCTTTTCTTTGGGCATATAACTAGGCCGCCTTAGTCGCCCTTAACTGTTTAAGTATCTCTATTTTCTGTAATTATCTCCACTTAGTCTTTTGAGGTAGCATATAACTGACCGATCATCTTTAGCTCAAGATTCAGTCTGCCCCTTCGTACCACAAGTTTACTCTTAATTAGTACTCTCTTCAGTTGGTGATAAGCKWTAGTYAGACCACCCAAACTTATGGAACCCTGTCTGACTAGCCTGTTCATAAGTAGGATAGTAATAAAATATAGTCAAGTTATAACCTTTTGGTTTCAACATGTGCATGACATTGGACCAAGACCACGCAAACTTATGGAACATGCTCACAATTCCTCGTTCAGAACCAAAAAGAAACTGAAGAAAACCCCAAATAAACAAGGCGACCAAGCCACCCAAACTTATGGACCATGCTTGGTCCCTGAAAAATCATTCACAGTCATCCCTCACAAGTCGGAGTAACCAGACCACCCAAACTTATGGGAACATGTCTCGTCCTTTAAACAATCAAAAATAAACATAGCACTGGGCTTCCCCAAACTTATGGAGACTTGCCGAACCTTTGATAGACCCAATCAAACTCAAGCAATACTGCCTTCCTCTCATCCTTCCCCCATATACAATCCCACAATCTGCTTTCAGTCAAACAATAAAACTGAAACTGGCATTACGCATACATTCCTTTACTTAGTCTGAATCATGTCCTGGAAGTCAAAAGTAAAAGTCAAAGTAAGGGTACACGCAGTACACTCAGTCAACCATAGCAAGAGATACGGATAGGGGTTATAATCGGGTTTATAGAGGGAGGAAAAAACCTTTACCTTTCAATTCTCTGCATCCAGAACTCCTCCTGAGTTCCGGCAGAGCTCCCACAATCGGTGGGTTGACTCCCCACAGAGTCTTGCTGCAGTCCTATGGGTTGCAATCCCGCCTCTCAGGTCAAGAACAGACAGAGAGTAAGAAAAACAGAAAGAGGGGTTTCAGACTCTCGAGATACAGGAGAGGGACTGACTCAAGTCCCAAGAGAGTGCCTTGAAACTTCGATGCGCCTGAGGGCCTCGCAATGATGGCCAAAACGCACAATTGCTGGCCAAGCCAAAGTCAAACTGCTGAAGCAATAGACCCCCTTCCTTACGATTCTCCAAATCGCAGCACTATCCCTTTCAAAAGACCCAGTCGCTCTGTCGAGCCCGTGACCCCAAGCGTGCTGGCTCACTGCTGTGCAAGTTGATGGGATGAGTGGCACCCTGACCAACAGACAAATATACGGCTCGGAAGGCTGGTGTGCAGCAGTGCCGCTCGATGAGTCGGGCCCTATACCGGCCAGCAGGCAGCTTACTACCCCACAATCCGCTCCTCACTGCTTCGTACGCCGAAATATGTTGTGTGTTGGCTGAACAGGTAAGTCTTCAGACCCGTGGCCCATCCTTTCCATTACCTCTCCTTTTTCTCAGTCCTTGCTCGTATCAGCTTAGTGCACCCGGCTGCTGCCAAAAACAGAGACAAAGCCATCGCCGTGTAGTCGCATGCAGAGCCAACATGTTGACGGAGGCAGCAAACAACTTCCCGTCTTAACAACAACACTCGTTCCTAGCAGTTGCAACGCCGGTTCGTACCATGCCACGGTCTTTATAGTACCCAATTTCAAACAGCACCAACCATGGATCCCTGCCAGGTTCGAAGCCCACAAATCAAGAACGACCACATACCACTACCCATAGAATCAAGAAAAACCCTCAATCCGTTAACCCCTGCTTGCCCGTCGGCTAGTCGTCCGACACTCCTTCCTCGAAACAGGCAATGAAGGGAGACCCCTGTGTAGCTATTCAGCAGACTGAAATTCTCTTTCATTATCGGGGTCATCTTGACAAGTCACCCCACCGACTAAGAGCAACCATGCACGCAGAGAGATAGGGGTGCGCTACTCCCATCAACAGATCATGCAGATTCAGGACAAACCTCCTGCGGATCGTGGAGAGATACAGAGCTAGAAATCTGCTCCCGTCCGTACCGCACCGCGAATTCAAAGGTAAGCTCCTTCTCTTTCACTCGCCCCCTCCTGTCTATCTACTATAATCCCCCGTTGTAATCCCCAGCTCTGATCTTGCTTCTACCTCTCATCTATTCCCTCGGGCGCAGATGTGCGCTCTCTTTTAACGTGCAAAAAGAGAATGAGTATGTTGCCCGAACGCAGAAAGATACGTTCCCTTCTTAACTTTCCCCTTTGGTGCGCAACCTTCAATACCAACCACGACCAGACTATGCACTTACCGGTAAGGTTAACACCGGCGTCACGTCCGCTGTACCCGAACTGCCTGATCTACTACCTTACTTCACCCGTTTTTACAATGAAACGGGCGAGATCTTTACGTTTCCCCCGCCTACCTTAGCCATTCTTATTACAGTTTTGCGCACTCTACTTCTTACTAACCTTCTAATCCACTAATGCTCCTCCAAACCTGACTTCACAATCGTAATCGCCCGCCAGAAAACCCCTATTTCAGCGTCTCCTTTATCTGATCCTAGGAAATTGAGTAGTATTCTCGATTTTTTTTTTTTCCGTTTCTTCTTGTTCTCGTTCCGTCATAGTTTTCACGCACTTCAAAACTCGCCTAACTCTAATCCTACTAACTCTTATCTAAAACTAACTTCATACTCTGACTTGCGGCCATCAAAACCCCCCCGTTCACACTTTATCCCGCTCGATTTCATTCAGAATCGAGCGAAATATCACCTTTTTCGCTTCTCTCACTCACCTGTCCTCCATATCCTTCGCGCACAATTTTCGTCACAACTCCCGTCCTACTCCTCCTCCCATTCCGGCCTCGTCTTTGGATTCGCCCGGGGCAAAAACCCTGGGATTGTCTCCTACCTCTTTCGATTCCGCCACGGATCGAGAGAGTTATGCTCTTCTTCCCACGCCCGACTCAACACCCCGCCATCTCCAAAACTCTTCCTTCTCAGCGCCTGCACCTGGCATAAATCCCGTCCGGGTTGACTCCCCCTTTCGGACTCTCCTTCGTAACCTCCGCTTTCTCTCGATCGCTCCGATCCGGTCTTTCTTCTCGCTGCCTGTCTTGCGTCTCCCCCGTAACTTTGCACTCGCTGCCTCGAGATATGCCATTGGTTTCGCCCCCCTCCTGAGCGGCACTCAGCAGAGAATAATGATGCTTATAGGGGGAGGGGACCAGAGGGGAGAAACAATGACTGGCCCATCGAAGCAGCTCGGTCCTGATACTACCGGCTGGTTGCTGGCCGGTATCACCCACCTGCTACAGCAGGTTTCACACCTGTTGGTGGGTGCAGCTCCCGCATGTTTCCTCGTTGGAGGCTTGAGCACGAATGTGGCTGCTACGGGGTGTGCGACCACCCGTCTGCCAAGTTTGCGAGCCCCCCAAAAAAAAAAACAGTCGGCGTTTGAACCGTGTGGCCTTTGCTTGACCATTATGACAACTGTGAGGCTGCGACGGGCAGGAAGGTACTAACTCTGTGTCGAAGCCTTTAGGGTTGGCTTGGTCGAAGCAGGCCCGATGCAGCTCTCCGTGGTAGTAGCGGCTAAAGTGATGAAAGGTCCTATGTAGGCAGAGTTGCACCGTGGCCTCCACACTAACGCCCCCGACCGCTACCCAGCCAAAGTCCGACGCCAATGGGCTCCCACGGGTATGCTCACACTCAAACCTCCCACTGCAACTGGCGAGTGGCAGACTATGCACTCGCGACAACCACCGCCATTTCGGTTTCTTCCGTTTCGAGGGCTAACCAACCACCGGTTCGCATGCACGTTGAACCCACGAGCATCCCGAATGCTCAAAGAACTCGCAAGTCAATGAGAAAGAGGTGCATGCTCAAGGTCCTTGACTACCGTGACGGCGTCCTGTGGTCGGCGTCACGTCCAACTTACGAAAAACCAAAACATAAATTTAAAATATTAACGGCGTCCGATAACAATAACAATGTTTTAAGATGCTCGTAATCGTAAGACTACGACGACGAGAGGAAGGGAACCGCTAGTACCATTTCGATGCCCCCGACGGCAAAACCAAGGGGGATAGCCCCGTCAGGCCTTTCTCGCTACTTTGGTATCCCCACATCGCCGCCGCTCGACCTCAATCCCTGAATCTCCCCGATGAAAGTCCGACGCTGTAACCTCTAGTGCTACGCCCAAGTGTTGGTCTAACTCTGACGGACACCTCAAATAAACCAATACTGCGGGACGCGCAAACCTGCGTAGCATTCCGTTCGCGTTCGGCTGGCGAACGCGAACGCATAGGACCGAACGCGAACGCGTCCGAAAATCGAGCGAACGCGAACGTTTTTTTTTTTTTTTTTTTTTTTAATATAT